CCTGACGTGTGTTGAAGCAACAAAACACCACATGGACGTGATGACAAGGCAAAAAATTCACCAGAGAAAGCCTTTAAATGAAGAAGGAGACCAGACAACATGCATCATCTGAGGCTCTGGGACACTCTGAGGAAACATCACTACACAACAGGAAGTCTTAACATAAAGTATGACAGTCTGAAGATCTAAAATCTGTCAGTTCGTAAATGCTTGTCTTTGCATGATTCACTTTAGTTTACAGTCAGATAAATGTTAACTAACTAATATCAGTCAGTCTGAAGTTCCGTATAGACATTTAGGGGATGAATCTTCATGACTTTGCCGATTTCCTGATGTTTTCTTTTTCTGAAATGGCGTTTCTCTATCACACTTTACAGTTAGATGAAAGTGGGCTATCGAGCAAGATGCAGGTGTAGCTACTGGAGGTCAGTGTCTCACCCAGTTACACTTCCAGAGGGGGATTGCAGGAGCTGGGGATTCAACAAGATGATTAAGTCTAGCCAGATTTGCTCTATTGCTATTAAACTTAGCACCAGTATTCATGTTCCTCTGGTGATCCCTCTGCTGTTAATCGTGCTCCATTATCAGATTAAAAAATGAGCAGCAAAGTGTTTCCTGTATTTGCAGTGTTTGTGTTGACTCTCTGTGCAGCATTTCTCGTCAAATCGCTAAAACCGCTTACTTACTTTCCACGTGTAAACACTATCACAGTATAAAAACCTGCAAAAAATAAATCAGCATGTTAGCGTTTACCTCAAGGCTCTGCTGTGTCCAAGAGATGCCTGCAAAATCTCAGTCTGTTTCTCATGAGAGCGCCACCTGCCTGTTGTTTCTGCTTATAGACGGAGAAGCTCTGGAGAACACAGTTAACCAGCTGACAGTTAGAAGCATGAGAAAGCACAGCAGCCATATTTTTATACATCACACTGAAAGGAAACGTCTCTTTGTTGCTACACAGGTGACCACAAGGCCACAGTTCAGGTCACTTTGTCAACACGAGTCAGCTACAGACACATAAAGGAGCATTAAAGATGTTTTTCAATCATACATTAAACACTAGAATCTCAACAATAATTCACTGTTTTAACCGTAAATGTGCATAAACAGAAAAAAAAGGTGATTTATTGGATTTTAACCAGTGAGCAGGAAAAAGATGAGGAAGGAGGAAGGACAACCAGAATAAACCTGCCGCCCATATGATCAGACATTTACATCCACCACTGCATTGTTTAGTAAATACAGTAAACATAAACACATTTGCTGCCATGTATTGTGTCTTTATCTGGCTGCCGTGTTATCTACTCAGTCCTGAGATGAGGAGGGAAGTCTCCTCAGCAGAGGGGATGGAGACGGAGCCGGCCACCACCCTGTAACCCATGGTAACGCCATCAGCTGCAGTGGGAGGGGCCACGCGTCTCCCTGCGTCTGGATTGGCCAGGAACAGGTGTGCTGAGGTTCCATATAGGGAAGGCGGAGGACGACTGGAGGAGGCATTGTTGAAGGAGGAGAGGTTGGGTGGGTTTACTGTCAGATCAATTATTTTTAACCAGATCAGGACTGTGATAACTCATCGGTCCTACATTACTCATACTTCTAAACTGTTGATATCTAGATCTAATCTATTCTGCAGCCACATCAGCCTGTTTCATGAAATGTCCAACATGAAGGCTGAGACATGCAACATGAGATCATCTTCTCTTTTTGCACTTTTACTTCATCAGAGGAGACAACACACTCATCTGACAACTGCAGAACACAATCATTTGTCACACGGGGTGATTTGTGAGTAAGCTTTGCTTGCAGATCGCTTTAATGAAACAGAACATGAAGCTCAATCAACTGAACATGAACTGATTTTGACATTTTGAATATTTGAGGCTGCCTCCTATGTTTAACCAAGTCATCAATCATGTCTCATCTTTGTTTTGGACATCAGTTTTCTGGAGCAATAACTAGAAGTTTAACCTAATTCTTTAATTAGCTGGAGCCACTTTTGAAGAAGATTGTCCCAGTTTTGATGATGTTTGCACTATTCAAAAGCTCGACAGGATAATTTCTGGAAAATACACCTCCTCACTTTTGCTTTTATTCCCGTATGTTACACATAAAGCTGCCTTAGCTTAGCTTAACATACGGACTGGAAGCAGAGGGAAACAACTTGTTAATTTTCTCATCTAACTCTCGACCAGAAAGCAAAGAAGCGGATTTCCTGAAGCGTCCAACCTGCAAATGATGGTTAATGTATGCTATGCTAACGGCTACTTCATATATTAGTGCAATTAGGGCAGTTTAATAATTAATTCATGAGCTTATTACAGTAAGTAACTGCAGTCGAGAGAGGAAATGCACTGTCAAGAGCTTCCTGCTTCCTTTTTCCTGCCGTGATACTGACGTCGTGGCATCAGGAGAAAAACCCTCCACAAATCTCTCATATCATAAACAAAGGCTCGATCCAACAGGATGAAAAAGTCCTTCATAACACAAGCCACTCCTGTACTGAACTCAGATTCTGGAGGATGACTGTTGTTTTGCATTTGTTTTCTCTGCTGTTGTGTGCTGTCCATTTTAGTGTGGTGTCCAGATGTGATCGACTGTGTTTTCTGAGTTTTTGGGTTTCTTGCCTCCCTGCAGAGCAAATTTCCCTCAGAGGACAACAAAGTTAAGTTACTGCAGAAACAACTCAGAATTGTGGACAATCTGCAGCACTTAAACGGTGACTCTGCTAGAATTAGGGGTTTGTGATCATAAATTAGAACTAGAATTGTCATTTTCTTTTAATTATTTTAAGTAAAATAAATTAGAATCATCAAATGTCTTCATAAATTAAAGAGTTCAAGTCTACAGATGCCCTCTGTGTGTCCTCTACAGTCAGCCTGAGGGGTTTTAGTCTGATTTTAAAAGGAGATACACAAGTTCTTATTTCAGATCATTCAGATTTGTTGACTCAAACTTGAGAAGCCCCATCACGACCTTGCACCTGCTTCGAATACTTTTGTTAGGAATGACTGTAAAGCATTGAAATCGGGTTAACTAACCAGAGAAAAGGCCAGTGAAAACATTTAAAGGACACAGCAGAAGGCAGCAGTGCAGAGAACCTACCACTGGAGTGCAGTGCTTCCTCCCCTGAACAGCAGACTTACTGTTGTCCACTGTGTGTGAGACCCGGCGAGGCGTGAAGTTGTTCTTCATGGGCCCCCGTTCAACCAGTTTCAAATTGCCAAAATCACAGCTGACTTGGTGTCTTCCTGAAGGTCTTCCCGCTCTGGTTTCAAGCGGCTAAAACGTCCAGGTCACGCTGGGTGAAGGCCTGATGGATGGGAGAGCTGCACGACAACAACCTGACACCTGTGAAAAATTTTCATTTGACGGGAAGAAGCCTAAACAAACAGGTGTTGCACTGCAGGGTAACTGAGGATACACGCAGACTTAAAACAACAGACGACGAACCGAGCGGTTAGAGCTCGTATCATGTGGACACTTAGCAGCAGATCCGTTTCAACGCCTATCTCTCCTGTTGAATGAAGACGATTTGCTAACATTTCGACAAGAATGTGAGTCGTCTCTTGCAGTGTTTTCTTCATTAAAGACGAGCTCAGCCTCAAACTGATCTGAGCATCTTCATACTGTAACTGTCAAGCAGAGCTCAAAGGGATTTCCGTCGAGTTAGAGAACGCCTGGCAAATTCCTGAGAAGCTCGACGCCTCGGGTGTCACCGCACAAAGCTGCCGCTGCCGCTGCTGCTGCTGTGTGGGCTTGAAGCACATCCGAAAATAATAGTTGTGAACTGTGACAGAGTGACAGGATGTGGAAGTGGATGATAAAAAAAAATTACAAAAAACTCACTTCATTTGTAATTTGTTTGATTTTTTTCTACAACAAACTTGTGAAATGTTGAAGACAAATACAAATGGTGGGTAACAGACTCTAAACTATACTTTGGTGCTTCATTTTTACTTCTGGTTTTCTGACAGGTGACAAATTAAAGGAAAAACCAACATAAAGTGTCTAAAATGGTGAAGAGCAATAACCTGTCAGTTCAAAATCTCCCAAGCTGTTTTTAAAAGTTATCTTTTTCTTCAGTCTCAAAAAAGTCTGTCCACATAAAAACACAAGAACAACAGGCTGTTAGGAGCTTGTCAAATCAACAGGAGTCAATATAACACTTAGCAAAAAAGCTAATTCTTATTCCAGTAAGCTAACAATCGCACAGCAAGCAGTAGAGGAATCGTATGTGTTAACTGGTTCTAACATCCCTGTTCCTCAATAAAGTGAAACAGCAGCTGCACATCTGTGTGTAAACATGTTAAAAACCTTGTTAGTGAGGTTAGCATTTGCACTATTGTGGCCACACCTCATGAAAACAAACATCAGAGGTTTTCTGTGTCTGCATGTCAAACACTACAAATAGAGTTTCTAAAAATCTTCACCCTGGATGAAGCTTTTCCAACAACTACGACTTAAAATTACATTTGTGTGACGACAAAAGACCAAAATACAGAGAAGAAGCTACCTTTTGTTGAGATTGAAGCTCCTGCCATCTGTGCCCCAACAATGAACCCTGTTCTTAAGTCACTTACATCTTTTCTTTTTGCCATATTGCTAAAAAATCTGAATCAACTGGACCTGCTCAGTGTTTTTATACATCACAGAGCATGATCAGGTGTTTATTTGTACCAAGCAGTGTTCCTGGATGGAAGCATTCAGTTTGTTTGTGTTTCTCCACTTAATTATTCTTTTTTTTCTTCTTTTAATTGAATCCATTTATATGAAATTGCAGAATCTGTCTATTTTCTGTCCACCTTAAGAACTTCCTTGCTTGCTTCTGTCATTATTTTAATTGAAAACCGTTCTTGACCTGCTGCTCAAACACTAATCACTTGGTTAATTTGCAAAAATATGATTGAAAAAGTGGAAATAATCACTAGTTTAATTGAACATTAAAGCATCAAAATGAAAGTCTTGATGGTTAACTGCAGAAATAAAAAGGCGCAGCCAGCAAATAGCTTCATTCGGGTCATCTTTAATGACAAAATGTTTATCAATTCCTCCAATGTAGTGGGAAAAAAAGAAACTTAAAGCAAATGCAGCATTACAATAACTACTGTTAGACCACCACAGTCTGAGGGAAACCTCCTTCTGCACTTTCCACGTCTATTCACATCAGGCCCAGCCATCAACAATGGGGGTTTTGTTTTCTCACTTTTTTAACATGATCTATGACAAACTTGACTCCCGCTCTGTGCGTTCACAATCTTTCTTCGACACCAGGGAGGAAAAAAAACAATTCAAAACAAACTACACAGGAAAGAACAATCCGAAACACCACTGCTCAAATGCTGCATGTAGAAACACAGGCAGAAACATGGAGGTTTAGTATCGCTGAGGCTGAAATGACACAACGAGGCCACAATGGTGACCTTAACGTGGTCCATGTTGGTTGTTAATGAGTTATTAATTAAATCTGCTCGTCTCAGTAGTACCTGCTGCAAATTTTGCTGTCATCTGTGGTTGTTTGTCAGATTTTTTTGCCCGTTTCTTTCTTGCAAAAGCTGACACTAAAATGCATTTTTGTCAGTATTTGTTGTTGTTCCAGGCAAGTTTGTAAAGACAGCTTCACTGGGACTCATTGTGTCATTACATGTCAACAAAGTAGTCTGCAACAAGCAGTTAGAAGAGGAAAATAAACCGAAAACGCTGCGAGTTCATTTACTCGTGGATGACTGAAAACACTGGCTGCTGGTGGAGCGCAGAACAAACCAAAGATCTCAGCGCACACAAGATCTCTCACCGCTAGCAGCACGGAAAGACTCTGCAGCGCATTAACTCTTGTGTGTCATGCAGAAACAGAATAACCCCGAGAGACGCGGTGTTCGGGGAAATCTGAGCTTCTAAAATTGCAAAAGTTGTTGGCCCAGCTCTGGCTCGTGACAAAAAAAAAAACTGATCACAGTCCAGCTTCGGAGATGTTGCAACGAAGCCGAGGTGTGATGTTGTGTTTTTCAGCCACGTAGTGAGAACACATGAACATTCGAGCCAACCACCTGTGTTTACACAAACCCCCACCTTCAGTCAATTAGAAGCTGCTGCTGCTGCATTTTAGCCGAATATAGACGATCACCAGATCTTCCGCCTGAACAAACTCGCTCGCTCATCCCTTCATCTTGCAGCTTCACGGAGCATTTCTGCGTCTTTTCCAGACATTTTGGCAAAACGTGTTGGAGTGTCAAGAGGCAGGGCTGGCTGCACTGGATGTTTGTTTCCTTAATAACAATGATAATAACAGCAAATTCTCTTTGTATACGCAGAAATTTAACTTACTTTTTTCATGGAACACCTGCTCCTTTTTAAAATAAAATCACACGAAATATCCTCAAGATAAATTTCCAGAACTATATATCTCAAATCAAAAAGTTTTTTAGAACCAAATCTTTTCTGATTACTTAAAATACACACTTTTTTTCTTTTCTTTTCTTTTTTTTTAAACAATCAGCACAGTTTCATGCCATGTCCAGCCAGATCTGGAGTAAAAGAAGCAGAATGTTGCAGACAAACCCACAACACAGTTTGGAAAAGACGACTGAACCTTTTCTGGACCGTACGGCGCCGTTACCCAAAACCAGACCGCAAAATACTGTTAGTGTACACACTGAGCGGGACGCACTGTCTGCCTGCACAACTCTCACCTGCACCCTGGTTTCCAGTTATTGTCACTAAGCAAAATATCCATTCAGATGCACGGCTCAACAGATCGTTCTACTTGAAACGCTGAAAAACAAAATGGTCACTTAAATCTACCTCCTGGCAGACGGAGCCAGAGTCTCCCCACAGTGCAATTCATGAGTGTTCGTGGTTCGGGTTGGCCACTGTGGCAACTTTCATCGTTACAACTTCTCAATACGCCACCACTGTTGTAAAATAAATTAAAAAAAGAAAGATAATACCTAAAAGATAATCAACAAAATGGCTACTCTCAAAAAAAGAAAGGCATGATCACATTTTCAGGCTGCGTAGCCGACTCTGAATTTGGTCGAACCCTTGTCGAGGTCGAGTGTTGGGCTACTCGTGCAGGTGGCACAATCTGTGGTCTACAACAGTCCTCCCTTGTTGTCACATCATCAAAAGGGCACTGAAACAGCATGTGAAGTAGAAGAGTTTGGTTTAATGCTGCAACCCTCCCTGAAAACCCACCCGTTATAAACATTTTTAACCCAATTGCTGGGGGAATCGGGGAAATATGACCTTATTCGTTCTTGAAAAGCTTATACAAATGAGTGGAGGATATAAGGGGAGAATAGGGGGATATATCTACAGACAGTCAGAATAACTGATTGAGAAAAAAAAAAGGGAGGAAGGAAGGAAGGGGAGACAGAGGAGAAGGCGGATGCATTTCACCTGAGAACATGTCATATCTCAGGGCTGAGGAGGGGAAGAGAGGGGCAGGCGGGACAGAGGGAGGAGAGACGGGCATTCTTCTCACAACAGCAAAACGTTCTCCGACGACTCATGGCCACTTCTCAGGCACTTTTCTTCAGGTTTGGGTTCAGAAAGAGCTGGCGGGTGGCGTGGTCAACCTCTTTCCGATGTAGACACTGAAAAGAAAGCGATGCGGGTTAAAAACCGCCACCTTTCTGGTTTAACTGGTCAAACTTGTCATGATGAAAGTATTTCCTCAGAACATTTCAAGAAAAAGCTTAACCTCTGGTCAAAACCGTGGTCTGAGGTCAGGAGTTATCGCTCAGCTTCTTACCGTCATTATTCTGTCTTCACCTTTCGATGAACTCCATAAAAATACCTGGATGTTAAGCCAGAGGTTCTCAAACTGGCAGGACATGGAGCCTCAGCAACAAGCTGCACATAACCAGGGTGAAGACTACTGACTTTTTTATATATGGGTGTAATCGATACCACTGTGAGTTTGTTATTGCTTCCACCTGTGCTTTTCCTGCTACGGATGATACCAAAACTTCTAGAAAATGTGGCAACTGTGGCTCAGGTGGTAGAGCGAGTCGGTCAATGATCGGAAGGTCAGCAGTTCGATTCCGCCCTGTAATCTGTGTCGTGGTCATTGTGTCCTTGGGCAAGACACCTCACCCGCATGAATGAATGGATTGTTTGAGGTGGTGGTCGGAGGGGCCGTCGGCACAGAATGGCAGCCAAGCCTCTGTCAGTCTGCCCCTGAATGTGTATGAATGAATAATTAACAGTGTAAAGCGACTTTGAGTGTCTAGAAAAGCGCTATAGAAATTTGATGTATTATCATTATTATTATTAGGGTCCGAGCACTAAACGGTGCAAGGACCCTATTGAAACCGTTGTGATTATTATTATTATTATTATTATTATTATTATTATTATTTTACCGACTTTTGAAACGCGATTTTGAGGGCCTAAACATGCTCGAAAACTCACCAAAATCGCCACGCACATCACGACTCGCGAAAAATTTGATATTTTAATGGACTTGGACATGTCACTGCCAAAATGGCTCCACAGCGCCACCTTGAAAATTTCGCCGGAGTCCTGTCGGAAGCACATTTGACCTAGAACTACGCAATTTCATAGGCCTATAGAGCTCGTCGGCACGAATAAAAATATATGTCCGCACCAAGCTCTAAAATGCAACACGGCTCAACTGCGCCCCCTACAATATTTCAACGGAGTCCCATCGCGGCTACGTTTCACCTACAACTATGACCTTCGCCACACATCTGTAACAACTCGTGACGCACAAAAAAGTCAATCAGCACCAAGCCCTAACCCCAACAGGAAGTCCGTTATTTTGAAAAAACACGGTGACAATTTTGCAGATTCTTACAAGATGTGCTGTGTCTGTGCTCCAATCGGCCTGAAATTTTACACGCGTGCTCCGAGTCTCAGCCAGAGCGTGTTTCCACCCCGGCCAACACGCACGCCGCCGCGGCTCGCCACTAAACAGGAAGTGGCTCGTAACTAGGCCGCACTTGCTCCGATCTGCCCCAAACTCGACATGCCGGATCACAGTCCCGCCGTGCGTGAAGGCCGACAAGCGTAAGTGCGAGGACCCGTCCATCGCCGCTTGCGGCTTTAATTATTATTATTATTAATAACAACCACTGCTTTTGCACTACGTCTATGTGAATATTTGACATTTGGTGCATCAAGATAAACAGCTTTTGGAGCAAATTCTCATCTGTTTTCCTCTCAACTCTTAAAAGAGGCAAAAAGAGATGATGTAATTATAAAGAGCTCAAGGTGATATCTTCATCGACTGTCTTCATCAGTCTGCACAGTGTGTAAGTCTGCTGGTAATGTCTGTCCATCCAGTGAAGCCGAAGCTTCAGTGAACATTTAAGCCACATAATTCACGTATAGGTATCGTCATTATTTATTCATCAGGTCTGATCCCACTGCACTTAGTCACATTTTGCTTTTTTGCTCATTTCCACCTCACATAAGCATACAAGCTTGTTTCCAATATTTATCACCCTCGGACTAATCTACAACATTCCCACACACAAAAATAAAAAAGGGCATAACATCAGGTGAATGGAGACGTAATTTATATCTGCAGTCAAACAGCAGACGTTATTGACTTTTATTTGCCATTATGCAAGCAAAGACTAAACCCAAGAGCTGGCTCACCTAAAAGGAACACAGCCCTCAGTGTAAATAATTAATGAGCTAATATTTACTCCAGGGCTCCTCCTGCTTCGATATGTCGTTATGTCTGCTGTGAGAAAGGTTTCTGAAGTAGGAAGCTAACGTCTTTATCCATAAAACGACACACGTAAAAAAGAAGATGGACAGAAAAGTTAAATGGCCAAAGCTCATAAAGCAGACACAGAAGTCGAATCCAACAGTGAGATCAGTATGGCTTCAGGTCTTTAGTTTTTTAAGTTCATAGTTTCTCCTGTTTTGTTAATTAGAATGCCATCAAGAAGCAAAGTGTTGTCCATTTTTCACTTGAGAAACACCTTTCACACGCTGAACTATTTCTGTTTTAGACAACAAATTATCACAAAATATGTTGCTTTCATTAAAGAACTGAGCCACCACCACTATATGATGTGTTGTTTTATAATGGTTCAAAGGTGGAGTCTGCAATTCTTTCATTTAACTGTATTTGAAGTCTAGTCAACAGGAAAATAGATCCTCAAACTGCTAACTCTGCAACTACATAAATCCATTATCAACACAGTCATAACTGATAATGAGACAAAAACTGATGCGAGTATATTTGTATTTAGTGTCTCTACATAGAATTTATAACAAAAAAACTAATTCCAGCACTATAGACTAGACTGAAACAGAAATACCAAAGGTTGAAGCTTTTCTAATAAATGTCTTCCTAAATAACAGCTACTGTTTTAAGCAAACATCACTGTTACGTAATTATATAAACCCAAGAACGGCCGGTAGGGATGCTGTGATTAGAACAGGTTTGTTAATTCTGAATTTTGCAAACCTCATCATGTCCAACAAACACTGTTGTCTGAGGTGTCGCTGCTCTACATTATGTGTCTGAGGAGATTATTGTGCCATGTGTTGTCACAAGCGAAGGACTCCTGGGAGGGTCGGAGCTCACTATGAGACAGCAGGTGTGCAGCTGCAGAACAGATTGTCAGTTTATGGAGGAGACGCAGCTGTCTGTGGCTGTACAGCTCCCCCTGCTGGAGTTTATGAGCAACTGCAAAATGTGAAGTGCTTTTGGCAGGAGAAATCTAAATCTAAGCAAGAACTGTTTCTACATTAAAATGAATGCACTAAACCTTCATAAGCATTAAATGCAGTGTTACTACTCTTGGGTAGCTGCAAGAATTTCTTTAATTTTGGTTTTAATGGACAGTTTTAGAGCTCTGTAATGGTGTTTTCCACCTTGACCAAAAGCATTTCTGTGAGCAAGAAAGGTTATTTGTAATATTTTGGTGGGAATAAAGAAATTAAATCATTCATATCACTTGGAGCCTTCAGAACTTCCAACAACATGACAGTCAGATCAGGTGATTTGTGTTGGGTTCTTACCCCAGGCCCAGAGCGAGGATGTGTGATAGTAGCAGCGAGGGGATGAAGACTTTGAGGAACTCGGCAGAGAAGATGCCTCCTTTCTTCATGGCCCCAGTCTTCCTCATGCTGAGCGTTACTGAGCGTCGAGGGTGACGGAAATGAAATTCCCTGCACAAATTACACTCACTTTAAAAAACAAGACAGCTGATTGACAACCTGACACCTTTCAAGTCACAGTTTCAGTTGTGCACAAAGCAAAAATGCAAAACACTTTCAAAGCTTCTTAGATGTTAGAATTTGCTTATTTTCTTTGTTTTCTGTCATTGCACAGTAAATACCTTGTGTGTTTTCAACCACAGTTTGACAAAACAAGCAATTTAACGGCATCACTTTGGGAAATTGTGGAAACTGCTCGATCAATACTGAAAATAATCATTTGTTGTAACCTCAGTATTTTTCAAAGCTGCCACCAATTACAAGAACTGAATTCAACTATAAGGTTTAACCTTTAAAGGACAGATATAATTGCTGGCTTTGTGTTTCCAAAGACTCTTTTATTCATATTATTGTGTAGCAGATGCCAGTGCAGGAGTGGAAGTAGAACTTGTTCTTTTTCTTTGTGTGAGGCCATAAATGTCCTCTCAGGTTATCTGACTGTACATCAGCTAAAATTGTAGGTGACACATTACAGAAACCTTTGATGTCATAAAGAGTAAAAGCTGAATATCTGACGTTAAATCTGACTTTTATACACTACAAAAGGCTTCACTATGCAGATGACTCAACCCTCAACTCTCCCCAAAATTCTGTCAGCATCAGACTTTCATGGCAGCTGGCCTTAACATTTGTGCTTTACACCAACTTTATTGCCATAACGACTGTGCACTTTCTCTGCACAAACAAGCAGCTGAGTGTGTTCAGTTGCCATGGACACAGAAGGCTGATGTTTACTGACTGGAGACTTACTTGGGGGGAATGTTTTCCGGTCGACTGGACCAGTCAGCAACCCAATCTGCGTCCTTCATCAGGATGTCCATGTCTCTATCCTTGTCCAAGACATCCTCTTCAGACTAAAGACAGACAGATTCATTGAGAAACCTCAGCCTGCAGGTTTGACGTCCACAGTGATCTTAGTGTACAAATGAGACATATTGTGAATGTGTGCACCACTGATAGACATTTATTCTCACTTTCTGACGACTGGAAATGGCACAAAAGTAGGATTTTTATAGAAATCGAAAGAGAAATAAAAATGACAAATCAATGGTGACAACACAAGCTGCGCAAAAGAAACTGAAATGCACGCTGGGTGTGGCAGCCATCTCCATGGAAACTGAAAGGCTGGCAGCAGTTGTCATTTTCACGCACGTGCGCGCACACATGCACACACACACAACTCCAGGCCCAGTGGTTGATGCTGCCATGGCAACAGACTGATGGAGAAGCTGAGAGGCACGTGAGCTCTTACTTGGCTGTCTCTTCTGCCGCTCACGTCCACGTCGAAGATGATCTGTCCCTCATCCTGGGGAGTGTGGGGCCGCGGGGGGCTGTGGATTAAATAAAAAAAGGCAAACTTGTTGTCAGCAAAGTCACAAACTCATGACTGTTTATAAAGTTCCCCAATAAAAAATACTAATTTATGACTTAACAGGACCAGTATTCATCAGAAATGTGCTTCTGATTTACTGTTTGATCACACTGCAGCTAAAACTAAACCTCTAATGTAGTTAAGATCAACAGCTTAAAAACCAGTTCGACTGCGAAAAGGATGCTGGACGACAGGTAACCATAGCAACAAGGCTCCATTACCAGTTAATGAACCACTAAAAAAAGCTTGACAGTTTGACCACAGCTTTTCTTTTTGCATAGCAACATGTCCTGATATGGAAAATGTAACATTAAACTGACATACTCAACTATAATGGTTAACCAATATGGTTTTGTCATGGTCGATATTGATACAGATTATTGGTAATCAAAGACCAATAACCCAAATGTGCTGATTAGGCACACAATAAAATCGCGGGGACAACATTCAGAATTTAGAATAACACATTTATTTGTCTTTTACATGTTCGGTTATAAGAGAACTTTTCAGCATCTGTCCTTCAGTATTGATTTGCTATCAGGAATGATCGATCGAATAGTGGCGTAGGCCCCAGAAAACTGCACAGGTTCTTTTTTTTTTGACATTTTCTAGACTAAGCATTTAATCACCTAATAAGAACAAAACACATAATGTAAATCAAGCAGATCCAACATTAGCACCCCTTGTTATGTGCAGCTCAAACTAAACTTTCAGCATTTTTTCTTCTTCAGTATTGATTTGCTATTACTCACGATCAATCAGACAGTGCTGTCGGTGGGCCATCGCTCAAGTCTACAAAGTGATGGCTATAGATCGAAAGAGGCGCCTGCATCACAAATAAAGCAACGTGTGTTTAAAATTAATTTACTTTTTCAGGAATCAGTTTTGGGTTTTTTTAAATAGCAATATCGATAATCAGAAAAATGCCAACTAATGGATCCAATTATTGGCCAGGTCAGTCAATACCTAGTAGGATACAAATTTTCAATTATTTTCCTAACCAGTAGTCAGCAGCGTTATCAATCAGTTACCCTTAAAACAAGTAAAGGCAATTTCCAGCATGTTGGTAAAGACTCATCTGAACCATATGAGCACTGACAAAAAAATCCATTAACCACCACAGCAGTATCTGTCACTATGGCCCGCTGCTAGCTAAACCCCCACAATGCTCTCTGCTTCCCAAAAGGGAACTGCCCTTAGTCCTAGTAACCACATCTTCAGGTAATTAGGAGGCTGGTCCCTGTTGTTTCAACTAGATAGCTAATGTACTAGATATTTTCTGACATGCACATCTTTTGTCCTCTGCCTAAATGTATTTTTGATCAGTTAAAATACTAACAGACATTAATCAATGAATTCCTACATCTTGAATGCCTTCAGATTAACAGACCGTGAAAATTGCACAAAGGATACTGAATTACAGGTAACCACAGCAACGGTGCTTTAGGTGCATGTTCTGTTACCAGTTAATAAACTAAAGGTAAAAATAACAACAGCTTCGTCACAGCTTTTTCTTTTTGTGCAGTGATGTGTCCTGATATAGAAAAAGCCACCTTAGATAATCTTACACACTCAGTAACAACAGCAGCATCACTGACTTAGGACACTTCAAAGACATTTCCACTGACTTTGGAATATTAAATTAGTCCAAAACTGTTTTGTGAAAAAAATAATTGTGCCAGATTTAAAAACATTAATTAAGAAGAAAGAATCTTTTTGGGTGTTTAGCGATTGCTCAAAAAACATAAAAAATGCTCCAAGTGCCTCTGGGACACTGTACAGGCAACCGCTTTGTTTTTCTGACATTTCATACACTGAGCATGTAATCACTTAATAGGTATTAAAACGAGTAATGAAAATGATGCAGCTCTAATATTAGCACCCTGTGTCGTGTATTACTGCCTACAAATGGAGTTTATATTTTCATCGTCCTTCACCCGCAGTGAACTCCTGCTGCTTCTGTACTCTGACCTCTCTGATGAAATGTGTAGTGAAGTGTGCGTCTCAGAGGGGCAAGTAAAGACAACATTTTAACTCATAGAACATCCCGGGTGTCGCATTGCTCAGAATGTTTGACGATGCCTCACTGATGTTTGTATTCCTGCTTATTTCAGGGCGGCGTGTTGATACAGCGCTCTCTGCCTCAAATACTTGACCGCATCCTCAGGTGACTCAGTGACAGCTGACCGGCCTGCTCGCTGATAAGGTCTGCCTTATCGCAGCCTCGAGGATTACAAACGAGCGCGTGATGTGGCTGGAAGTTGAAGGGTCGGGAATTTTCTGACATGCTCAATAAAATGCGAGGCAAGATGTGAAAGGAGACGTCGTTTTATTTTCAGAAGCCGACTCAACTCTGGAGCAGCTGTCACCTCAGAGTCAAAGCTGACTCAACACGACAAACGAGCCACTCCTGATTTATGAGCTAATTTTAGTGTTTCCACTAAAATAGTAAGAATTCTGGGAGTTTTAGGAGCTAAGTGACCAATATCGCACAACCAGTATAAAAAGGGTTTTATGTTGCATCGCTCCCCAGTGAACTGTTAATGGTAATGTGTGTTTAAAAGATGAACACTCATGTGGGAATCCAGGCGAAAAGCAAGTGTCTGGAGAGATGTATCTCAGTTTTCTCTATATTTAAACCACTAATACCTTTTTTCTCTCAAATAACTACTTTAACGTCAACAAGTAATACAAATGCAAGAGAAATATTGAAAGAAATAAGCTGCTGATTACACACGATGTAGAAAAAAAAAGCAAAGTTTGCATTGTAAATGTATTTTCAGTTTCTAATTACAGCCACATTTTTGCTATAAAATTGAAAATAATAAGTTCTCAGTCTAGTTCCAGAACTGAGAGCTTAGTTTTTACTCTTACGGCTCTGGTGGGGAAGGCAGGGTTTGGTCATTTTGGGCAGAAATGGGGACCATTGGATGACACCAACACGTAACCAAATATCCGACAGCCTCTCAGCAAACCCAGGGTTATATTTTAGAATAGATTTTGTTTTAATTAAACATTAAAATCAGCTTTTTCTTCTGACGTACACAGCTCCAAATTGAGTGAAAGTTAAGCAGAACTAATTCTGCAACTACAAAAATAAGCTTTTATGAGCCCCACAACTCATGACTTCCTTGGTAGAAATCCTTGTGTCCTCTTTTGTAGTTAATGGTAAAAGGATTGGAAAATGCAGCAGCCTTTTCGTTTTGTACCCTTGGAACAAATGGGGCCTGTCAGGTCAGGTCAGATCAGGTCTTATGAATTTTAAATGTCTTCAAACAAATTTCAAGGTTTATTAACTAGCCTTGACACGATAATTACATTATTGACTTATCGTAGGTTATGTAGACATGCCTTTGATCATTTTTGCTAACTTTGGTATTGCCTGTTTCGTTATATGTGCGTTTGTTCACATAAGAATGTTGAATATTTTACCTAACTTGATGCCAAAATAGGAAGCAATGTGTTCACTACCATTATAAGAAGTTTGATCCTACCTGTCACAGGAAGAGTTGCTGCGGCTCGACTCGTGCTGGGCGTCCAACAGGATCTTCTCCATGTCTCCGTTGTGGATTGAGGACGAGGATGGGACATGCTCCAGGCCCCCCACTATGGCCTCTTCTTCCTCCACCTGAGGAAGAGGCAGCAGGCCTGGGCCACTTGTGGAGGGTGACTGGGCTTGATGAGCTCTGTTCATCTCCAACTCCACCCAGGACCCTGTGGGAACACACAGGCAAACAGCATTCATTCACTTGTTTGTTTCAGCGGTGCAAAGTTTAAGGTTTTGTTTTAAATTATTTAAACAAAAAATTGTTGAAGCTAACAAAATTGCTTTGGTGACTTCTGGTAAATTTACTGAAAAAGTTATGTTTTTTTTTAAAAAAAGGTGCGTATAAGCTATTTTAACCAAGATTTTGTGACCCCCATACAAGTTGTTGTCTGCTGCAAAAGACACTCACAGCAACAACTTATGAAACAAGGCCTTCTCGTAACATGCAGACAGAAACTTGTGCAGAAATGCAGACGAATGTATGATTACGTGCCAGAATTCCTCAAATTGAAACAAAAACAAACAAACATAAAAGATACAGATGGATTTACATCGTAGGTCTACGTCTATTTCATGCTATTTTTTGTTCTTTTCTTTATTTACTTTAGAAACTAAACATAGATCAATTCATTCCTGGATCTTTCCTTTTTCTTGTGAATAAGAACTAAACAAAAAAAAATACTTTTCTAACTGCGTCATAATCAATTATATTGAGATCAACTCCTAAATATTTCTCTACAAACAACTCTACCAAGTCGTGCTTCAAGAGCATTGAGTTTATGTAAAACAGGTGAACAGCATGAACATGTTTCAACTTGCAGACTGAATTACATAAATTCTCACCTGCTTTTCAAACATGTTCAGATACAAGTGTCCTGATAAGAAGCTGCGAGTCTACAGTTGTGTCAATAAACCAATAAGCCGATATCCTGCTCAGAGCAAAATCCAATATGCTCCGAGGAGCAGGGTTCTGCTTACATTTGCCACTGAAATAATCAATGTTCAACTGGACAGCATCATTCATAACCGTGTTTTTTTCATTTTGGTGCATATTACCATCATTTCAACAACACTCCAGAGTAAAGCAGCCTTTCGATGCCTCTGCTGCACGGAAAATGCACTGCCCACGTTCTAATGTTTAGCCAATTATGTTCTTTTTTTGCCATGTTTGCATTTTGAATAATGTATGTATATGAGGAGTTTTGACACATAATTTTACTTTGCGCTAGTGGTGACCTTCCAGTAGGACAGAAATTGGTAGATGGCACTGACCATACATGTTACATTTAAGTTACCCAGTAGAGAATGACACTAAAACTGACAAACCTACTTATAACAAAAGGCAACCATCCTAATATGATATTTGGGCTTTGTTTTTGCGATGACATAAGATGTCTGAAAATGCCTGCTGTCTTCTTGCTGATTAATTACTTACAGTAAAAAAGAAAAGAGATAGGTGTTGTTTTCTTTTTCTCACAGATTTGCATATTTCTGAAACACTGTCTAAACTATCAGTGAGGGGAGGAAAAGTTTTAGTTGTAGCCTTCAAAGACATCTTCCAGGTCACACTAGGACAAGCACAGATGTAACTAATAAGATTAATGAAGGCTATTATTAATACTTAGAGTCATGGTGATCAGCATGCACGATACAGCGGTCTGGAAACACGCAAAGCTAACTTGATTTCTAGTCATCATCTGTGTTAATTGAGTCTGTGCTCTTACTATAGCCTGGCCAACATATTTACCACTTGTTTTTCCACTAATATGGGGCATCATGTCAGCCACAGCACCCCCACAAAGTGCAGCAAGAAGGCATTGGCTCAAAAGACAAAAGAAAAGTAGGAGGATTAGAAAAATAGGAACAATGTCAAAAATGATTTTATGATCTTAAGCTAGAAGGGACACCATGACAGGCAGTCTGAACCCGTCAGTCACACAAGTTCAAGTGTAAAGCTCTATTTACTGCTGTGTGATGAAAGGGCAGTAAATGCTTGCATGTGTGTGTGCTGTGGTCTCTCGTAGACCTTGACCATGATATATGACGCTCAGCCTGTTAGTACGTGAGCTCTGGCATGGACTGGCAGCTGAGGAGGCACAGCATGTCAGAGCTGGGTTACAAATATAGAGGAGGGGCAGGTTAGCCGGGGCAAGAATCTGGAGAACGAAGTGAAAAAAAACTCTAATATTCCATGTTGTGCAGCTTTAAAAAAAACAACTTTCTCCTTCTGTCTTCACCAAAATAAACAGAGGAAGGTGTCATAACCCCATAACGGTACGTAAACAACATTTTCACAGGAGCTTTCCTGGGACTGAGTTTCACAGGCAACGGGCCAGTTACACCCGCTACCCAATCAGTGCACCCCTCCCCCCTAAACAGGCCTCGACTCAGCACTTGCACTCATCCTGCGGATTACACGGTGGACTGCAAGCCAAGCTGGTGTCGACGGGCCATTGTCTCCACGCCGTGGACTAAAACCCCGTTGCCATGGTGCTGATGCTTCCGAACATTCTGGCCACAGAGCTGTTATCAGCTGTTGGGTGGGTTAAGAGGAGGGAGACATGATGTGAACTCTCTGATCTCCTGATGCTGAGGCTCAGACTTGAACAAGGCTGCCTCTTGCCTGAAGACCCCGGGCATTACATAAAAATGTCACTGATGTGAAAGGGCCCCAGGAAAGCAAAAATAAGATCAGAGCACACTGCTGGCCTCTTCGTCTGAAAAGGCACAAGGTCTTACGGTGCCTAAAGCAGTGTCTCGCCATGTGCATACAGCATATATCCTGCTGCATAAATGCACCAAAATCTGGTGTAGATTTTTAGCTATTTAAGAAGTTTATCAGCAAAATGCATATATAAGTTCATAAAAAATTGTGTGTTGGCACAGAAGTAGGGGGACTCTTGCATAATAAAATCCATCCATTATCCATCGAGTATCTATACATCGCTTTGTCCTGTAAAGGGTTGCTGGGAGTCTGGCGCTTGTATCAGCTGACTAATGGCCAAAAGGCAGGGTATAGAAATCCATTCTTGTCAAATGTTTGCAAGCCATCTCGGGACAGATATATTCAAGATACACTATGCAAAGTTTAGACAATGAGAAATTGAACATAATACCAAGAGTGTCTGATAAAAACAACACTTGTTGCTTTCTCTTGTAATAGGGGAAAGGTAAGACCAAACATATTCGTCTTGCAAAAGATGGCCAAGAACAAGGATGGAATATTATTACCATCCTTCAGCCAAAAACTTGGACATTTTCTGTTCACCACTGAGTATCCAATTAAAAAAAACAAAAAACATGTGAGTCTAAGAAAAATGGCTGGAAAGTTTGTTTCTTGCCCAGACTTTGGATTTGAAATTAACCAGCCTCCATGTGCCTACACTGCTTCGTGCTGTAACACTTCCCCCACCTTCCTCGTGTCCAAAACGTCTGTCCCCTTGTCGCTGTGGACATAAATAGCATGCCAAGTCACGGCCCCACGTAGTGTTGTAAAACTTAAACCTTAGCAGCTCTCTAGGTAGGCCCGAGGAAGGGGAGCGATGCAATAAACACGCCTTTGTTTACGTCTGTCACAGCCACTGCAATCCGAATGCTTGTATGTAGCCTGTCGTATTTTAAGACATTAGTGTTTGGGTAACACATTTCCACAGTTATGAAATGACGCACTGTGTGAAATGTCATTTGCCAAATGCTAGGAGACGTGGCAATTATTTTTATCATGCATGTTGGTATTTTTAATGTAGACAGACATCTGAAAATACAATAAAGAATGAGGTATATCGGATATCTACAAAAGTGTTTAGCAGGATTCTACAGCTTGACATGCCGCAAACACTCTGTCAAAATTTATTTGCCCCCATTTTTTTGCTAGTTCTGACTTCTTCCATGTAGCCTTGTTGACAACGCTTAAACCCGCCTCCACCCTCTGTGTGAATCGCCGATTGGCTTACTCGCCTGTCAGTCAACGCCCTAAGCACGCCATTGGTCGAGACATTGTCAATAAACACACGGAACATACCGTTCTCTAACTCCTCCCCCTTCCATGAAGCTTGGCGGTGAAAAAAATGATAAAGGGGCAAATTAAAGCGCCTTCATTGATTAAAAAACCCTAATAAACTTGGCGCAAACACACAACAGTCCACGACACGCGTTTTTTTCAGCGAGAGAACACGCTGACAGGGTGGTTTGGCGTATGGGTAGCTGCTAGCTTACCGTTGAGCCCGGAGTCTCCGTTGTTGTCTGTGGAAGCGGTGCTAGCAGCGTCGGACATGGTCGTGCCTGCTGAGGAGGGTGGGTTGCATAAAAAGGGGCTCAAGTCAGTGCAAAACGTGCACTACCTTATCTGCACACATTCAGACGTGTGGTAGTACAGTCGGCCCGAGTCGTCTCCGGTCCCGTTTTTTTTTTCTTCCCTCTCCGGAGAACGGGCGGCTAAAGCTAAAAGAAGCTGCCGTTTTTTTTCGTGCGCTAGCTGGTCTGGGAAGCTAGTCGCGCGAGCTGCAAACACACACCTACCTCCTCGGAGCTGGGTGATGACGTCACGCCGGAGCGGTTGATAACAAAAGAGGGAGTCGGATTACATAACATAAAACAGAAAAATAAACAGAAAAAAACACAGCACAGGGTGTTGGAGGAAATACAAGCATTGATTTTTGATTCATAATAATAATAATAATAATAAAAAATAAAATTAAATCAATAACTGGATGTGGACACGTGCGTTGCTTCACGTACACAAACAGCTGAGCCACATATCAGCTCATTTCAATGAACCTTTAAGCTCCTGCTTTTCATCACCTCCATCATTCATGCGATTTTTAATAAGAAGAAACCTGCTGAATGATTGCACTGCGTGTCTGAATACGTTCCTATACTCCAGCTGCAGGTGTTTAATACTAGTGCATCTCAAAAAAAACACTGAAAAAGTTCATCTTTTCATAATTCATGTAACAGTTTTTCATATATACCAATTCATTACACGTAAAACGATTGTTTTGGTTTTAATTTTAGTGATTATGGCTTATAGCGCATGAAAATCTAAAATCCAATATCTCAAATTATTTGAATATTTCCTAAGATCAATCAGAAAAAAATATTTACAATACAGAAATGCCCAACTTCTGAAAAGCATTTATACCCTAAATGCTTAAACTATTGCATGATGCTTCATTTTCAAGATGAACTTGCAGACAAAGATTTTATATGATCTCTTACATCAAATATTCAATATAACCAGAAACACGTTTCATAAAATGAGTGTAGCACTGATAAGATCCCATCCACAATCAGGCAATCACAGGGGATGCAAAAAGTAGTTCCTTTATTTTTTTTTTCCACTGTCATAGATTAAAATTGTAGTTATACATTACTAGAGGCATCAATATAATCTGAACTGTCCACATTTTAAATATGGTGTGGTGACATCGAGTGCTGCAGATCTTTGTGCGGCTTGTTGTACCATCACATACAGTAGCAGTCGCGTCTGCAGTAGTTCAAACAGACACTTTAAGTGACTTAATGCCTCAAATGTTTTCTTTTTAAATTGCAGTCTTACAACACAGACATCCAAGTACTTTAGTTGGTGCAGCAAAAAGAGTCCAGTGTCAAATCATAGGTTTTCCCTGTTGTGAAGTACTGCTTCAGAGCTGTGGTACACTGTGGGAAGACAATACTTAAAATCACTCGAAAAAGATATGTTTAAAGGTCCAGCTTCATTTCACAAAATAGGACGGAACAAATCTGGTGACGTTTTAACTTTTTTTTTTAATATAAATATGACAATCATAATAATTATCTTTGAATAGGCTATCTCTTATACCTGACTATTGTTTAACAAAACAAAAAGGAGGAACCGATGCACAAAGATGTCAAGACACAGAGCCAATCTCAAAAAAGAAAAAAGAAAAAAAATCTCTTCTGGAGTCTGGGCCTGTTTGGCCACCCAGAGCCTGAGGCACAGCGAGCAGGACAACACCTCACTGGACCGAACCTGTGAAAGCACACTGCACCTCTCAATATCCTGGAGGGAACCGCTGAGGTGCTGCTGTCCAGTGTGAGCAGCAAGTGTGTGAATGAAAGTGTGAGCATACTTGAGTGAATGTGGAGTATGCAAGGTTTAATGAAACACGGGAGACGTGAAGAGACTCAACAAAAAAAAAAAAAAAGAAGACAGTAGAACGGATGAATTCATAAAAGGTGTGAACACACACAAAAAAGGTCAAATTTTTCTTAGAAAAATAAACACTACAATGGCACAAGATAATAAGGGGACATACTAACAAGTGTTTTTTCGTTTCTCTACCACAGAGCCATTTGGGGGGAAAGTTATAAAAATAAGTGTGTCTGTATTCAGAATTTTAAGGAAATTAAACTGGTTTACCCACATTAGAAAAGAAAAGGGCAGGTGGGCTGGCGAAAAAAAAAAAAAAATGGAAAAAAATTGGCACAACATCACTTAAACAACAAGGCAGGTGTCACTCTGCCGCAGACAAACTGATGATGGGCGAGAGCGAGGCTTCCTCTGTCCACATCTAGAACAAAGTGGCAAAGTCTGGTCACCGAGTAGCGACGGACAGGGATGCTGGTTGTCGGCGTTACCACAGATCACCCTGGGTGAGGGCTGTGAGGCTGCAGGTGGTTCGAGTGACGTCACCCACGCCGTATCTCACACGCGCTCACCCTGCACGTTAGTTTACTTTATCCTGGAATATGTAGAGGTTGTTGGTCGTCGCCACTGCGATGATGTTGTCCTGGGGGTGCCAGGCAGTGTGAAGGATCTTCTTGTTGAAGTCCAAACTATCCACGCTGATTTCGTCCTTCTTGCGCTTGCCGCCGGCGCACACCTTGCGGGGCTTTAGGACCTGCATGGGTTTGCTGTTCTCGCGGGATGCTTCCAGGGTCACGTCCCGCCTTTGGCCGCGGTCGAACATCCGGAAGAAGTTGTTGTATGAGCCAGTCATCACCACACTGATGGAAAAAGAGAGATAAGCGTGTAAGCTTTCAGTACAAGTCAACGTAGAATAACATCCATTAAACAGAATAGTGGGCTTAAATTTAGATGAATAATTAGAATCCAAAGTATTTAAGGAATTTAAAGCAACCCAATTAAACTGACAAAAACGTAAACTGTATTTGCATTAATGTATGTCGTGTAATCACTTCTTTAAAATCTACTGAATACCACTTTTAAAAGGAATATTCTGGGTCCAATAGTGTCAGAGGTCAAACTATTTTTGCCTCAGCTTGCAGTAAAGTCTTGGGAATCAAGCCAGCAACAACAAGATGGGGAAAAAAATACGGTAGTACTTCAAAGTTTTTCCCATAAGGTGTTATTTCATCTTCCCCCCCAGTTTGTACCTGTCATTGCCATTCCAGCAGCATTCAAACTTGTCAAAGATGCAGTCGTTCTCGTAGAGCGAGCACAGCTTGCTCCTCAGGTACTCGTGAACCTGGAATGAATGAATGTATTTAGAGGCAGGTTTGAAGAGGCAACCAAAAGACTGACCTCTGGATCTTTATCATCGCTGTAGATGCAGATACAGCAACGAGACTTTATACAGTAAAATCATACCCAAATCTCATGGGAAGCACATTTACAAGCTTAATTATGTCTCAATGGCACAAATTTCCTTCTGTGCTTTCTGTGCACAAGCCAGTGCACAGAAAAATGACAGCTTTAGAGCGCCTCCTAGTGGCCACTATATGTCATTGGCAGGAATGATTCAAAAAAGGTGTGGCCAGTGTTACACAATATCAGTATCTGCATTTTCAGCTTGATGAGCAGCATGTTTACATCAGAATTAAACTACAACACACATGCAAACAAATGCAATTAGAAAATCTGAATGATGCATGATGCTTCAGTAATAGGCTGCGGACACATTATCACGTAGACAATGAAGGAACTCGCTGAAAAACAGGAGAATCTAAGTGGTGTAATGCACAAAGCGGAAACACCAACGTACACCTTTTCCATTGTAGTAAAAGGAGCATTTTCGGCGCTGTGCGGGAGCATTACAATGACAGGAAATGAGTAGTGACTGAGTCTGATCATAAAATGTCACAAACAGGAGATTCTCAGACCGCAGACGAAGCTGTAAAATAAACAGTGTCTGCCTTCCAAATTGTTGAGGTATTCATGGAGTTTCACACTTCAGCCCTTTTCAGACGTGTGTTATGTAACATTTCTGGATTCATCAGTGTGTTAAAGAGTCGGCTCTCTTTCTGTCAGACGTCGGTCACTTTTATGGTAATGCTGCTTCAGTCAGACATACCCACAGCAGTGACACGGAGACATCGGACCGTAAATTAGGATGATGCATAATAACACACTAATTAACAGGATACATCGAAGCTGCAGCTTGTAAACTGTGGCTCTGTGTGACAGCTCACTTTTCTGGACTAAACAAACAGTAGCTACACTGTGTGAGTTGTCATTAGATCCTGATGATCTTGTCTCCAAGTTGGGGATGATTTATAGTCCAATTAAATGTAATTAATGAAGTTCAACTCTCTCACTTTACAGCCACTTATATAGAGCAGCTCGTATTTAAGAAACTCAGAGGAAAGACTGCTACAAACCTAAGCTCCAAGTGTTTGTTTCCACTTGTGCGTGAATATTCATTAATTCAACAGCATGCAAATCAGGCTTCAATGTGCTAAAGTGAAATGTTACAAGGTCCAATCTAATAAGATTGACGTTGCGACTTTTACGTGTTCAGATGGCGTAGATTAATGGAAAGGAGTGATTGTCTTGGTTTCTGTCAACAGCATCTTCAAATGGCGTCTAGATTTCACAATAAGTCACTCATGGCCCGTTTCCAATCACGCGACGAACCGAACAGCACATGTTGGTGCTGTGTTTTGTGTTCTCACCTGATAGGTCTCCACTGGCCTGTTTTCCATGTTCAGGTCCCAAATCTTCACAGACAAGTAGTCTCTGGTCATCATGTAGCGTCCGTTGTGGCTAAACTTAACATCCGAGATCGAGGATATGATCTCAGAGAAGAAGGAGCGATTACTAGGATCTTCTGGCTCCTCAAACACTGGGCAAAAGAAAGTAAAATGAAACAAGTATGTAAAGAATTTGTCAAACTGCAGTGTTTTTCAGACGTCTAGAGTTAGATGAAGTGTTGCTCAGTGGCTATCGGGGCGCCCAGCAGAATACATTCAATACTTAATCAGCACGACAAGGTAGAAGAATGGTGATTAGAAATAACCAGAGTGGGTACTCACGCTTGGAGTGCTTGTCACATAGTGCCGAAGCCCTCATGTCGCACAGACGGATGGTTCCTTTGCTGCTGCTGTAGACGAAGGTGTTACACTGGTGAGGATGGAACTCTGCTGCCGTGATCACCTCCGTAAGCTCCTCCATGTTGGCCGGTTTAATGTCAACAATATCTGAGGAGCACGTGGTTAAGGAGGGATGCAGCTTTAATGCTTGGAGAAATCATCACAAGCCCCTCTAGGCTGATGTTATTTTGGGTGATATCTAATGAAATAAACATTCTC